TGATGTTTGCTTCTCTTGGTTCGGCTGGCTGATGGTTGATGTCTGCTGATTGCAATGAATGCTAATGCGCTTTTTTGATGGTTGCAGAGCTGAAGAAAGCGTTGTATGCCGTCTTCTCGCAGTTTGGGAAAATCTTGGATATTGTCTGCATGAAGACTCTCAAGCTGAGGGGTCAAGCATGGATCGTCTTTGAAGATGTGACTGCATCTACCAATGCACTTCGCCAAATGCAGGGTTTTCCATTCTATGATAAACCTATGGTAACGTCATGCCATTCTCTCTCTCTCTCTCTCTCTCTCTCTCTCTCTCTCTCTCTCTCTCTCTCTCTCTCTCCCCCTATGCTCCTTAGTCTTACTCTTGTTATTTATTGCCTGTATAGGAGTGGCATAAACTTTTGGAGGTAATGCTTAATCCCTGGAGGAAGGACCCATGGGCTGATGTATTCCATCTCTCATATATTCTGTTCTCCGTCGGTCAATGCAATTTCCAAGCCAGTGAGGTCTTGTAATGCTGTAAGCAACTTGCGAGCCCGCCTGTTTGTGCCGTCGGCTCGTTTTTCGGCAGGGTGAACTTTATATCAATACCATCCACACGGCCGAGGACAGCTGGGATTCAAGTTTGTCACAAAATTTACTGATGAACCATGAATCCTAGCCGTCGAGTAAATCTATGGTTGGTGCCAAGTCGCACAGTGTAAGGAAGTGGCCAGAGTCGGGTGTGCCCGGCTTGAGAGTGTGCGTGCTCTTCTGTGGGAGCTCCCAAAAATGCTGCATGCCCGTTGTGCGTGCTGCCCCGTCATCGCCTGCCTAGAGAGGGAATACTGGCTATGGAAACCCAATAAACCTGCTCACTGCTGCCGTGGTGGCCCACCTGAGATCCGGCAGCATGTAATTGTCATGGTTTGTGTCGTGAGGATTATGAAGGTATAGCCCATGCGAGTCTTTGTTTTCAAACGTATGATGACAGGCAACATGTTAGTCATGTACGATACCCTAACATGGCATGTCCTATTTGTAGAAGGGCTGGAACGACAATGCCTATACAATTGCGGTCGGCTTGCCTCTATGTTCCTAGCATGTAGGAGCCAGGTGGACGGAGGGACGGAGGCACAGACAGAGTGACGGAGGGAGGGGCAGAGGGAGGGGCAGAGGGAGGGACAGAGGGAGGGATGGAAGGA